GGGCACTACGAGGTTTTCATTGAAAATTTCAGATAGCTGCGATCTCTGTTATAACGTCCGCCTTTTGAAGGTAATAACTAGGCTCAAATAAATTTTGCTAACATATCTCTGGCCATAATGTCATAATAATAATTATATACAGTTTATAATCTCTTCAGTAACACACATGGCTCTCAAACAATCCTAAATTTAGTTATTAAATGGAGCATAATGAAAAAACATAAGCATAATTTTGGGCATGATGCTCTCCTTTCAGGGGTGACTCTCAAAAGCTTAATGGCGAATTGTGAGCAAACTGTTCTTATGGTATTTCAAAGTTGTTATTCTCGTAACGACTCTGTTATACTCCATTCAGACCAGGAAAATATAGTTAGTTTAGCCGTGTTAAACTGTATTTATAACTGAATGAAAATCAGAGACAGACACCTGAAAAACCAGATTTTCCATGTAGTTTATTTGGTCAGAAACACGCATTTTCAGTGCACTTAATTTGAAGTCGGCAAACATCGGTTTAAGGAACTCTTAATGAAAAACAGTGTAAAGCCGTGATTTAACAAAACAAATTTTTAAAACATGTTGAAGCCTTGGTGCGAATGGAAAATTTGAAAGATAACGTTCAGTCTAAGTTTTCTAACTGTCTATAAGAATTAAGTTATGTTCACACTAATCTGTAATTTTTTGCTTTGTTTTGTTTTCTGTTTTCGTCTTCTCTTTTTCAGATGTACGTTGAGCTAGAAGGTGACGAATCTCAAAGCGGTGATTACCCATCGAGTGTTTATCTTAAATTAAGACATCTCAGTGGCTCTTACTTTAGAGATGGCAATGGGAATGTCAGGGAATTCCGGCAGCCTTTAGGATCATGGCGGACATTAGAATTCGACCGATTTGCAATCACTAATACCAAAGGATGCAACAAAGAAAAAGCAAAAGGAAACAGTGAGTAATGATAAGGCTAACATCACATTGTATTTCACGAAAGCCCTTCTTCCGGGCGTCACGCAACGCTATCATCAAGGCGTGACATCCTACAGAACGGAGATTAGACTCTGACCAAACCAATACGTTCTCGCTCTTCGACGCATTCTTTTGGTAAACGGTGATGAAAACGGAGCGTGGAGCGTTTTGAAAAAACGCCTCTATTATAACCTAGATAAGTCTGTGCATAGTAGACATCCGGTTTCAAATTATTTGTAAAATATTTTTCCCCCAAATTTTCAGAGGATTCTCTCTTCTGTATGGGCAAGGACGATAACCGCTTTCAACCGATGTGCTGCCATTATCTCAGCGGTTCCCCGTGTGATGACACACTCCTTGGAGCAGAAGAATGCCGGAGTCCATTTGGAACCTACGAAATGACCATGCCGATTGACAGCAAAACTCCCTGTAAAGCCAGTGGCTCGCGCATAACACACGAAAACTGCAAGGAATTTGATGTAAGCTTAAGTTATTAGATTTGAATGAGAAGTTTTTGGGCATCCGAAAGTAAAGACAATCCCCAAGTGTTCCAGGCTTGCAATTTTCCACAAGCGTTAATTCACCATTGCAGAGAAAAACTAATATTTTAATGTCAAATTTCGCGTTTTACTTGTCTAAATTAAAGTACTTTTCAGCTGTAAAAAAAGGTTCTTCCTTCATATGCATTTTGCCTATTTTTATTGGATTTTTTCCGATCCGTTTTTTAAAAGCAATTAGATGTGACTAAAGCCAAGAGAATATTTTGTCTGATGCTTAGGAAGGAAATTGGAGCAAACAATGGCATTGTAAAACTTCGTAGATGCCATGTAATTAGGAAACAATCTTTTTTTCAGCCTTATCCTTTATCCTCCATTTTCAAACAAATAATTGTTAATTTTTCCCGGAATGAGATTGGAGTACTGGCTACCTGTCATAGCCACAAGGGTCATAAATTAAAGCCGTGTACCAAATTATGTCAAAATCGAATGTGATCGCGCATGCAGTCCAAACGTTAAACGGATAAAATGAACGGAAAGATAACTGATGCCTACAATATTTAAGGGTTGCGATTTATCTAACTGTTTCCTCTGTTAAACATCAGCGTTCAGTGTTCACAAAAATGAACGTGTGGATTCAGTATCTGTACTGGACTGGTGAGTACCCAACAGGTCCAGACGACCTAAGATGCAGCAAGTTTCAGGACCCAGACTCCGAGGCTGAGCATGTTCCCATAACCTTTAACCATGAAGCGTCAGGTGATATTGAATCATAAAAAAAAAAAATGATTAATAAAAATATAGAGAAAAAAAGACATAATAAACGTAGCATAAGATTGCAATCACCGTGATTTAAATCAGAATTGGAAGTGGCACTTACTAGCTTAAAGCAATGGAACAGGAAAAAAAATAAAGTAATGTCAAAACAATTGCCTTTTTTTGAAACTTATTGCATATATGCAGGGAGGAAGGTATAAGTAGTTGAGCAAGGCTAATGGTTTGGGCGCTGCATGAGCTCAGGTTACAGAAAGGTTCGGTTCATGTGGTCAACGGACATTCCCAGTAATGCATGACGCACTGAATAGAAGCTAGGGCGTCCATGATGACCATAACAGTTGCAGTAGTAGAGCAACTAATTATTCTTAGATGGGTCTATTTCGGTCGAGAGCAGATAAAGCTGAGCATAGTCTGTTGTGCATGAGACACCAACTATCTTCGTACCCTGGAATAAAAAGTAAAGTTGGATTGTAAGACTGATTAAAGGGGAAATACATATTCGACCGGTCATGTTTATTTTCATCACATTTCTTATATTTTTCATCCATTCCTTTCTTTTATTTTTTTTGCTTTATGAAGAATTTTTTTTTTGTTAAGGAGAGAAATAAACTGAAATGAAGAAGCTCGACCTAAGTTTACATTCAACGTACTTGCAGAGTCCAATCATGCAAGCATGTATGATTCAATGTTGGCATATTGCGTCAGTTATATTTAAGGACTCAGGAATTCATCTGCGTTAAGATTAGGCAAAGAAGTTGGACAACCAGCCCTTAACACTTTGTCATCAATGATAGTTTTGAATCTCCTTTTTTTAAATTTACTTACACTTGGTTCACCCAGGAT